CCCCCCCCTTCCTCTTCTGCCGAAAAAAACACCTTTCTGTACTAAAGTCAGTTTACGAAGTCCATAAGCCAGGCCACTCTCGTATCTAAAAGTGAGTTGGAAACAACATACAAACTCAAAAAATAAATCAGAAATTCGCTATTGAAAAGACATGTAATTTGGCGTCAACTCCGTAAAAGATGCTAACGGGAGGACGCAAAACAATACAAGATAAATTAACAACCTTGGTTCGAAAACATTGTTCAATTAATGTAAATTATGATTGTGCTGATATTGTGGTGAAGTAAGCAATGAAGGTCTGCCCATTTACAATTCTTTTGTGCATAAGAACATTTTAATATTTTAACCCCCCCCCCCCACCCAATTACTAAAGGAGGGGGGATATTAACAAGTTCTTAAGCATAATAATAATAGCATTAAAAATGGGTTGATTTATCAATGTCATGCTCATGCTGTGCCGGAACAACCTAGGTGGAACTGCAGATTTTTCTTTCCTCATCCTTACTATCGTTGTTTTTCCTCTACTTCTTCTGTATGTTTGTCACTCTCTAGTGAACTGCTTTTTCCGGGGTGCCTTAATGGTCGAAGCAGACTTTATGCTGTTGAGGGTAGAGAGGTGAGCAGAGTAATCCTGACTCGCCGTTTGGACTTCACTGTTGACGTCCACCCATTGGCGCTCATATGTCCTTATACAGTTGTGAGCGCCGTAAAACCTTACTAAAACTAAAAAACTAAAACTTCTTCTATCACTCATAACTTCAAGGCTCAAAGAAAGGTAAAGCTCGAATGCTTCGGTTAAATTCAGTCATCCTGGTGTCCTGATATTGAAGCAACTGGTACGCTTTTTGAATGATTTACATCATGCCTTGTAGGTTGTTGAACTTCATCAACAAAATAAAACAACAACCAGAACAGCAACAATCAGAACAGCCACAACTAGAACGACAATAACAACAACAGCAACAATAACAATAACAAAAATGTAACAGCAGCATACCTGGTGCTGTTCTCTTGTAGTTCTCATTGTAATCATCAATAGACACAACGGAGCCGGGAGGGATGTCGGGGAGATCACCCTCTAGATATGTGTCCATGCGAATGTTATTCAGAGAGTCGTGTCCCCTGAACCTCTGGTAAAGACGGACCACAAGATCGGCCCTGTCAGCAAACTGGAACGTGATCTTGGCAGTGCGGTTGAACTTGCCACCTGAGGAGGGAAGAGAAAAAATAATTCAGTGGATGCGTGTAAATGTGGTATGCCCCCATTGAAACAGATTAGATAATTTTAGAAGCGGGCTATTTCGATGCTAGCCTTAGGGCCACACCAGGCAGAGTAGGATGCAACATCCCATATTATGGAGATAATCATTGCAATAACTTCCTCAAGCAGAAATTGGTCATCAATACATTACTTTTAAAGTGGAAAAGCCACCCAAATATATTAGATAATCTAGTCGGTAGTTTTTTTCTTCGAGATCCTAATACCTTTTCTTCGTAGATGAATTTCACAAGCAGTTACACACTATACAAGAAAACGTATTGATAGAGAGAATATTGCTCACATCTTCCCTCCCCCCCCCCCCCCCCCAAAACAGGGGGCGGGTGTAACAAAGACATTATGTCGTCAGGCTTCCTGTTCTTCTACAAGGTCCCGCTTCACATGAGAAACGGAAAGGGGAAGGGATTAACATAGAAAGCTCATCGTGAGCCAGCCTTTCAAATTTTGCAATTTGTTAAAAGAATAAACGTTTGTTTCTTTTTGTCTTTTTCTCTAAAAAAAAATGTTGGTTTATGGGCTGAGTACACTTTTACAGCTTGGCAACGATAAGTATATACATACCAGAGAGGGGATATACATAAGAGAAGATTACCGGTGAAGTGATATCCATTCTTGGCCTGGGGGTTGAGCGGCGCAGCAAACAGCCATCCGATTATGCCTCCGATGGAGTTGAGGGTGAGCATAGCAGTGCCGATGTTCTGTGGGATGCGGGCGATGGCGCTGTACGTGCGGCCGTCAGTGGTCACGACGTAAGTATGCATGGAGAGACCATCATCCAGACGGACACCGTTCAGGGTACCGTTCACTGGACCGTTGACCTTCTGGGCAACTCCTAATGAACAATGGTGGTGGGTGTTATATGGGTGGGGGGTAGTAGTAGCAATAATAATGATGATGGTGATGATAATAATAATAATAGTAATAATAATAATAATAATAATAATAATAATAATAATAATGATAATAGTAATAATAATAATAACAATAATAACAATAATGATAGAAATGATAATAGTAATAATGATAATAATGATAATAATAACAATAACAATAGTAATACTAGTAATAATAACAATAACAATAATAATAACAAATAACATTAGTATAGCGTATAACCCCGTAGTATTTTTAGCTTAATAACATATACCTGTTCCGACATTATACAAATGTACATCTTTTTTCCTTCGTCTCTGTTCTTTAGAAAAACGAAAACAACAGTACCACGTCTTAGATAGTCAGCTGCTCAATTATTAAGCACACCAGATACCATTTTTTTTTTTATCATAGAAAAGTATCCTTTTCGGGAACTTGTCATCAGAAAACTCCCAGAATGCAACAAAAAAGTCCTTTCCTTTCTCCTCATTGACATAATGTTTTATCTATGAAGCGGTAATAGTATCTCTTCAGCCCCCTCCCTCTCCTGCCCCCTGCCTTCTGTGAATATGACAAGCTCACCCGGTTCCAAACAGCTGAGACCATTGCCGTAGTAAGGCGGCAGACAGGCACAGCAAAAGCCGTTGTCATTGTCTATGCACTGGGCGTTGGCGCTGCAAGTGCTGGCTGACTGGAAGCAAGAGTCCTGCTGGGGAGCTCCGATGTCAAACAGCGTCACTGAAAAATAACGAAAGTGAATAATATTTAGAAGAATGTACGTGTGTATATGTGTTTGTGTGTTTGTTTGTTTATATGAGTGTTAGTTTGTGTGTGTTTGTAAGTTTGTCTGTTTGTATTAGGGGGCCTCAACCCCAGTCACCAAGTTTGATGGAGAAGCAAGGAGAAAGTTGCACATAACTAATACAGTTGGCAAATTATTCCAAATAGTTGTTTTAACCCTCAATTGTTGAGAATGTATTGGATTTCCAAAATTCCTTCACGGGCATAAAGAAACGGTCAAGGTGTTATACATTTTTCCTAAATCAAATTAAAACAGTATGTTACCATGCTATCGTTATTATCAGCACGAGTATCATAATCTTCCAAAATATTCTACATGCATTTCGCTTTAAAACTTTGTTGTGTTTGATCCAACCTAAACAGTGTGATACTGAAGAATTGGTTTGTCGAGAGGGTATGGACGTTGTGGCTGTGCCATGACCACAGTAAAAAAAAAATTCATCCGTTTTCGAGATCTTCACAGGGCGGCTGTACCTTGGGCAGTGTTGAGGTCAGCCGGTCGGACGTTGCCTGTCCCCAAGTTTCCAATCTGGTACATCCAGACGCCAGCCACATTCACGTTTGAGCCGCTGTCGACAGACATAGAAAGAGGTGTACTTGCAGAAGCTAGTTCTTAATGACTATTATTTTTAAAGGTATCTATCTATCTATCTATCTATCTATCTATCTATCTATCTATCTATCTATCTATCAAGGCAAAGTCCTGCATTTGATCGACAAGAACTTCTACTCACTCGCTGAAGGTTCCTGTAAGTCCAGATCCGGGCAAAGGGTACGCGAGTCCACCTTTCCCGTTCTCAAATCCAGCCTGTGGTGGGATATCAGGCTCAGTCGGGGCGTACTTCCCTCTGGATGCCATCCACTGGATGCCGTCGTCCAGGTAGTGGAAGATGGTGAAGGAGTTGGTTCCGTCAGACGCCACCACAAGCTGGAACGTATTTACCTAGGACAAGAAAAACAGTCATTAAATGTGTCAGTTATTTTGTTTTACGCAGGTGTTCTTTTACATCCTCATCGACATGATTTCGATAATTGAGGAGGCGGGCCTCCAACCTTGCCTGTCATGACCAACTTGGGTTGAGAAGGAAACAGCATACTAGCAGAAAGACCCAGATACACAATAACATTCTCACCCCCTCCCCCTCGATAATTGAACAGGGGTCTCTTGCGTGCAACAGCGAAGCGCCTAACTGCTACAACACAGACGCCAGAACTTGTCAACTAGAAAGTAAAAAAAATACGTAAGAGACTCTTTATTAAACAAAATAGTGCTTGCTCTTGACGTTATACTAATAGTACTCGTTGTTCTATGAAGAAGAATATCGTTACATACCCTATCGGAGCCTTCCATATAGTAGCCAACTCTGTCCCAAGTAGCGATAAACAGCGACGTCGGCATGAAGGACTCGAAGCCGGAGAAGTATGTCTGGATGTCTGCAGCCGCCCGCTGAAGAATCGCCTCTTCTGAAGTTGACCTGGGCAGAAAGAGTGGTTGAAAGAGGTAGGGGTGGATAGGAAATGGTAGTACGGCCTTTACATGAGAAACTGCTTACTGGAAGATGAAGAGGAGGCCACAGTTTGTGTTATAGATATAGTTTTACTTTGTGTTTGTTTGTTGTTGTTGTTATTGTTGTTGTTGTGTTGTTGTTGTTGTTGTTGTTGTTGTTATTGCTGTTGTTGTTGTTGTTGTTGTTGTTGTTGTTGTTGTT